TCGCAGTCAGTTTTTTGTTAAAAACGCATGATACGAGACTTCTGGTCAGCTTGCTTCTATACACTGTTGAAGCGTGCATAAAAAGTTTCTTATATTAATTGAGACTTCTTTTGTACATGTCAAAACTGCAGCAAACAATTTATATGATATTTTGGTCGTCCCATAAGACAGAAGCAGTCCAATTCAGGATGTGCAAGAGACAAGTGCTGAAGCGAAGCCGAAGCGATACTACGGCTTGACCGAGGTGGATTCTAGAGTGCAGGAAGTTCGCTTTGTTCTTTTGGTTGTTGAAAGTCTTCCCTGATAGAAAGAAAATCTCATCAGGCCTGCCCAGCAGTTCCGTGATAGCTTAGTTTTATTAAATGGTAGTTTAATTTATCCTTGCAAACTTCAGACGACAACTCGCATGGCATCTGTCCGAAAAATGCTTGCTCAAATAAACCTTACAAACAAAAGTGCCGAATTTTGTACACTTATCGAAGAATTTATGCGTAAAAATGAAGAAATGCAGCGAAAGCTACAAACCATCGTAAGTTCCAATTCGCTGTATTCTCAATAAGTCAAAACCGGCACTAATTTTTGCGGCTCTTCTCACAGGAATTGTCTCCCTCAGGTGGGGTGAGCTGAAACAAGCATACTCAGTCATTTTACCTCATCCCCGAGTGCCACTGCACATAGTGCCCACTGACCAAGCGAACCGTGCATCTACTGTTTTTTGCTTTTTACATAATGGTAGCGGAAGGTAAAACAACACTTGTGGCCTGAGGTCCAAATTCGCTGTGCCGCTTTTAACCCAAAAATGAATAAAACCACAAAATCGAGGTTTCGAAAGTTTAATTAAAATGTTCTTCCAAAATTTTGTTTCTTAAATGAAATTGAAGTGCCATGAATATGCCAAATGTAGTATTTTTTGCCATAATGCAAGAAAATACGGCTTTCTGCTTGCGTTAGGATCAATTATTCACTCAAATTGGTATTATTTTAGCTATCGCCACACGCACGAATTGATCACTTCTCAACGGATCTTCTTTTCCCGAAGGATACGGAGCAAGACACTGGTGCATTTTCCTTCGTGCTTTCCGCACTATTAAAAATACTATTTTTGATTTTAAAAATGCTGTAAGAAATACCTCAAAGTATATTTGTTAACTCATATTTTAAAAAGCAGACAGATACCTGGCCAGTTTTAGAGAGCACGTGGACAACAACATCCACAACAAATACCATATCGCGCTTGATGCGAATATGAAAGTCAACTGCGGCATCATTTAAAGAAAAGTCAAAGGACTCGCCGACTGTCAATTCAGGAGCTAAACAATCACAAACTTTATCAAGACTTGCAACAAGCAATAACAAAACGCACATTTATTCAATCATCCGCAATGGACTCCTCCGTGTGCTTGCCCTTCAGCATTCCCGTTACGCGTGCTCGACCAGCTGCTTTCCTTTCAATCATTGCTCGCCGATCTTTGTCCATTTTCAGCTTCGTCAGTGCTACCTTAATAAATCTCCTTCACCTATTTAGCAAACCGAAAGAAATGCTTTTAGCGATGATAAACGAGCAAATTAAAACTAATATTATTTAGAAATAATGACAATAATGGGTTGAAGAATTAAAAAAAAAAAACCCAACTCTACCTTCTCTGTTAATTCTGACGGCTGAATACACCCCCTCCCTCCCGCTCCTTCAAGTACTGCAGCGATATGAATACGATGTTTATCAAAAGGAGGTAGGACGTCATGCGTTCAATTAAAAAGAAAAAAATACCTACTCCTCTTCCCTCACTATAGTCTTCAAAGACAGTGATAAAGCTCATGTGAAAACAAAGAAAGAAAGAAAAACTGCGAATCGGGGATTTTAAGATTTGTTGACGGATTTTCCAGGCCATGATTAACACCCGTTCCCTCCTCCCTCTCCCCTCATTCGTAACCCCCCCCCC